TCAGACGCTCTGTTCCGTGAACATCACAACAACTTCAATTGTTAAAGGATTTCTGTTGAATGCTTCAATAGGATTCAGCTAGCAGTATTTAAATCTATTTCTATGAACCAACTGTTACAAAAACTTATAATGAGAAGAGGCCTAAATAATAAAAGAAAGCTTTGAAAGGGTGGCTACTGCCTCCTCAAAGAACATCATTAAAAAAATCTTTCACATAGGCAATGTTTGGTTCAGCGATTTAGTCTGAGTTTGTATAAAACATCTAATGTGAGCAGAAATATGTCATAGCTTTGAACAGGAACAAAACAGAGCCCCAAGTTATGAGAACCCTAACTGAATAGATAAGAGATCCAATTAGGCAGATGAGGCTCCCCAGTGGCATGATCCCCCCAAATATAATTTCCTTCTCAGGAGATGAGACGTTTTTATTCTCATAAGTCTCAGAAGAGACAGATCCCCATCTTATTTGTAAAACTTTAACAATTCCAGTATGACTCAACTATTATGTTAAAAACATATATATGTATTTGAAACAGAGACATGAAAAGAGCCTTGATAGACCAATGGTTCTTGCTGGCTGATTGTGGCTCCTTCTGGAAACATAATTGGGTTAGTCAATATCACCTGATTTCTAGGCACAATTCTCATAGTTCCTAGCTGCAAAAGATAGTTTTAAGCCTTAGAACAACTGGTGTTTTGAAACTAAGTCAATAGTTTATATCCTGCTATGCCAAGCTCTTCCTTCTATAAAATTTGCTCTGTAAGTCATTTGCTCTAAAATTCAAATGAAATTAAAAAATAAATATAATTATCCACATCATTGGAGAATAGTCTTTTGGAGAGTCCAAAACAACAGACAGTGCATATAATTTGTAGTTTGTTTTGGAATGAATTGAGTGAATCTATTTCACTGGTATTTTACTGATGATGATGATGATGACAGTAGTAGTCCTGATTGAAATGAAGATAATAGTTTCCTAGGACAACATTACAATTAGCCTTTTCCTGAGTATTTATCAATTCGTGGAGGAGGTAAGGAGCTGAGAAGGATTTAATGTTGCAGAAAAACACAATTTCAATCCCAGAATTCAGTTCTTTTATTTCACATTCATGGGTAAGAGTTAATGGTTTTCTAGTATTGTTGATGGAATGCCTTGATAACTATTGCTAGTTCTTTCTATGGAAGATAAGTGACAACTTATTTTAAGCACCTTGTTAATGAATTTCTATACTCTGTCTGTTGGTTGTCCTCATGTCTCCACAGATACAGTTCATTAAAAGTAGTAACCAATACCAAGTGAACATGTGCAAGAGTGTGGAATGCGTAAGGGGACAGAGGTGTGGGGACACAAGTGAAATTTTTCCAAAGGTTTCTTCAGTCCACTTGGATTTCCTTGGGCTCTTTCATTAAACCTGGAATGACCCTAGCGGTAAAGACTGTAGAATAGCTGGAGTGGTACAGGGACGATCAAGCTGCTGACGTGAACCTGGACAGGCACTCCCCTACAAAGCACAAATCACTTGCTGGTTTAAACTAATAGTGTGATCTTTCGGGAATATTTCACTTCTGGAGAAAAAAATGAAGACTATTATCAGTCTTCACTTAAATGAAATGTCCCTAACATATGATACACAGCTCCTATGTATCATATATAATCATATAAATGAAATGTCCCTAACATATGATACACAGCTCCTATGTATCATATATAATCATATAAATGAAATGTCCCTAACATATGATACACAGCTCCTATGTATCATATATAATCCATATTAGATTTCTGAAAAATGTAATTTTAAGAAAATTACAACAGTAGGGGATTTTTTAATAATTGACCGAGGAAATGTTGTCTAGAAATGTTTTGCAACTCCATCAGATGTTAATGATGCAGTAACAGCCCTGTGCAGAGCTCCTCACCTCAGTATTTGTAGGAAAATATTTGACATTCTTTTTATGTTTTATGTGATTAAGTAGTATCAAGTTCATGTTCACAGACATGAAGATTGTGTTTAAAAAAAAAGGCTAAGGATCATTTTACAAAACCCCCAAATATTAAACTTTCTTTCTAAGCCTATTCACTTTACTTTGTTATTAGTCAAATTTTTTTGGTTTGTTAGTTTTAAAAATAAAAATTTTAGTAGTAGCTTTGTGTAAAACCTCTGGAGATCTCAAAAAGCAGATGGACCTGTCTTCAGTATAGCTTGAGGTCTACAACGAGCAGTTCTCCTGGAGATGGGGAACAGATGCTTCTAGAGACCCCCAGGATTCTTCCATGTTTGTCTAGGAGAATAAGTTTCCTGGATAGGGCCTAGCAGAAACCCAGATAGAGGAGGGTCACAAACGGTTAAAAGTTCTGATGGGGGGGGGAAGGGGTTCTAGCCATGGGGATGCTCTATTTACACTGATTTGAAGGCAGAAGTGTTCCTGTTGCCTAGATGCTTGTACCAGACTCCTTAGCTTCATGCCTTGAACAACTACAGACTCAGAGAGTAGCCTCATTTCTATTGGAACTTCCATATAATCCATATAATTAGTTAGCCGAGGGAAGCCCTCCAGGTGATTGCAAATCAGTGTGGAGACATTAAAAGTTTGGCTAATGTGAGTTTCCCAGAAAGGGGAAGTTAACTCTAAGTGAGTTCAGGGTTAAGAGTTCTGAGTTTGCAAGTCTGATAGCCCTGCCTGCCTTTCATCAAGGTAGTTGCTATCCTGCCCAAGTTACCAGTCTCCAAGAACATCATGTGCTGCCCTCTTAACTCAGTGTTTCACAAGGCCTATTATGCTGGTCTCAACATACTTCCCAGAACTATGCTATGCTTATTCCCCAGCTTTGCACCTCGGGGCTCAGAGATAGTGTTCTAGATGACTGAGTCTTCCTGTAGTTTATAGGTGATTTCACCGTCCCTTTTCCCAGTTCAGTGCTATTTCCCCACATTTTCTATGCCTGAAGTTGACTCCTCTTGATCATATTTGATTTCAAACTAAGTGTGTGTGTAGGTTTGTGCGTGTGTATGTTTACATGAACAAGTGGTGCAAACAAGCTATCTCCATAATACAGTATTTGAAAACATGGGTTCTATGAGAGATTTAGTTTTACATGTATTTAAAAACACTGTGGAGTGACTATGTTTGCATATGGCCGAAGCACCAGCTATGAGGAATGTATTTCTAATGCACTGGTTGAGGTGGGCGCCCATGTTGGGGGTCTAGTCAACACATTCAGGAAAGATTCAGCACACTCTCAGCATGCTTTTAAACAGTGTGAATTTTATGGAAAACAATTATTTTAAACTTTTTCAAGGTATTGGGACATGTCTATTTTTCTAGGTCCCTACATTCAATTCCTACCTGTACTGCACTTCCAAGCAGGATAAGTGACAGAGCAGGGGTGGAGGTGCTAAGGGTGGATTCGGGAGGACCACTGTGGCAGTTTCACTGACAACAGGAGGGTATTTGAGTTCAGAGATGTCTTTCTGCTTTGTTGCCGGTGCTAGATATGGCTGTCTTTTCTTTATGGTCATCTTGTTGAAAACATTTCTTTTTACTTTTTAAAGATGTGTACACATGTGCTAGTCCTCACATGTGATCACTGACATATGTTTGTGAACAATGTTTTACATCAACAGGAATATACTATATACTATGTTTTTCTAATTTTTTTCCTGTTCACCCATTCCATGTGTTTTTTAATTAATAAATGAATAGGTTTTTTAAACACAAACCTTGAATTATAAATGATTAATTTTTTACAGTTAAATCGACATCATCATTTTTAATTCTGTCATATGTTTATATCATCCTATAATATCTTACTTTATAATGATCAAGTGATCATATTAAGTTATTGAAGTATACAGAAAACAGAAAAAAATTGGCTGTGTGAAATTTAGATATATTATTTTACTGACAGGGTAGACACAGATGATTGAGAAATATTGCTTTAATATTTGTTAGTTGAAAATTTGGCCAAAGGCTTTTGCAACAGTTGTTGAATGATTTGAGCAGAAATGGTTATGCAAACCTACTGTGCTTAAGTTCATAGATGCTGAATTTGCATTTAAACCTTGGCACAGTCCATAGTATGTAAAACAAATCATATATCGCATAAAAATAAATTCGTTTTCACTTTCAGACTGAAACAAAACCCTAAGACTAGCTATCTCATTAGTTTCTGGTTAGTAGCTTACATAATGTCTTCTAATGCAAAGTTCAAGTGTTTGGAGTTTGGGCATGCTGGAAACATATCGTTTTCATCATTTCCACTGCACAGACAGAAACAGAATCAGAAAAGTCAAAGAGTCAGCTCAAGTTTAACAACCGATCACAGCACGACCAGTGCACAAACTCAGTTCTCCTTGATTTTGCAGCAAACACCATCAAAACAGCCATCCTACATTCATGGAAGAGAAAGGTCAATGGAGAGGTAACACCTTCAGGTGGGAAGACTGAATCAGAAATGGGCATTGCAAACAGGGAAAGTGCACATAAATAGTGCAGAATGCATTTATGAACTGGGGCATAAACACAGTTTCCCAGAGTGTCTCTTAGGACCCAAGGCAACTTTTCGGCCCAAGCCTTCATCCGTATTACAAATACTGCTTCTTTATCTATAGCCGTGAATATAACATAAGATTACAGGTGACCAGCTACATGATTTTCTGGAGGAAATAACAAAAGCATAAAGCTCAAGAAATCAGGAAAATTGTGAGTTAGAGTTTTAAGGCTTTTAGAGATTTGCAGCAGTCCTACTCTAAGTCCCAGAGGGGAACATACTTGAATTGAGACATTCTTTTCCCCCTCAGAAATCTTGACATCTAGCATCATTTCCTGGGCTTAAATATTCCAGGGTAGTCTAGTGGCACCGTAATAGCCAGGGAAAATGCTTTTATTTGTTTCAGTGCTGATATCAATATTTGTACTACAAGCTGCTGCCTACATTTTCTGCTATTTATTTCTTACAGATCAGATTATTGGCCCAGATATAACATGTTTTCCAACGAAGTGCTCCTTGTGTTCATGAACAAATGGAAAAAAAGTTTCCATTTTAAATGTAGACTTTTGCCACATGACTGAACTAATTCATGTTACAAATATGATATGAAACCACTTGATATTCCTGCCTGTATACCTGCAGTAGAGAAGCCATGAAGGCAAATATTCAGCAAATCAAGCAACTGACCCATTTGCACAGGTAGGTGGACAAAATTAAAGCACCGTGGCCAGTTCCAGGCCAGCCTTTTATAGCTTTTTGAGCCTCCTGGGCATTACTCCTAGCATTCATAACCCTGTTTTATGGGCTGACATTAAAACAAATAGGGTAATGTGAATGAATCTTTGTAAATTCCAAATTATTTGCAGAGAAGTTGGTATTTTTTTTTTAAATTAATAGGAGATTTATTGGTAGCGCTTCTCAGGATTTTCTGCTGTGCAAAGAAACAGGAAACAATAGAAGGGTTGTGTGTGCATGTGAGTGAGTGTGTGTGTATGCACATGTGCATAGCCATGTGTGCATGTGTATGCATATTTATGTGAGCATACCTATTAGTGTGTTCAGGCATGTGGAGGTCAAAGGACAACCTTTCCTGTGGTTCCTCAGATGCTGGCCACCTTGTTTTCTTGAGACAGAGTCTCTTGCTGGGCTCATCAAGTAGGCTAGGCTGGTTGTTTGGTCAGTGAGTCTTAGAGACCCTCCGATCTGTGCTTCTCCAGAGCTGAGATTACTACTGAACATCAACTGGTTTCCGAGGATCAACTGCATGCTCTCAAATTTGCAATGTGAATACTTTACTGACTTAGTCTTCGATCCAGCTTGTGGGGGAGATTTTTAAATCAAATGAAATAGCACTTAGGGATGGTGAGGGTGTGTGGGCAGATTATAGAGCACTTCACATGATTTCATAGCAGCATCAACAACACAGCAAAGCATTCTTGAATTTGAAGCTCTCAAAGGGTTAAGTTAATGGTGGTGTCCATTCCCCAACTCCAGAGTTTTTAGCCGTTACATTTTTCCGGGGGTCCCTTGCTGCTCACGCTTGCTGGCTTCTGCAATTAGCAGTGCTGTTTTGAACCTCAGCTCTGCCACGTAATCTCTTTCACTTAATCTCTTTGAACTTCCATTTCTCACCTGTCAGATGCTTCTAATACCTCTTCACATTTTTTTTGTGAAGATGGAAGGAGACAACATGTGTGGAAAGGCTTTGTAAATTGCAATGGCTTCCACAAAGAACAAGTTGTTTGGGAATTCACTCAGACTATGTTGATACCCTTTTAGGATGTCAGTTTCTTCTTTGTGTGGAAAAATGGGTTGACGGGATACTAATAGGATAGAGAGGATTTGGTTTATAAGTCTGGATTCTTTCTTCCACATTTCAGACTTGTGCATAATATCTCAACTATTGTTTAAAGAGAAGCACATCTCTAAAAGAAATGTTTCCTAAAACTTAAGACTTCCTGAAGCGACAAGAGAAGGTGAATTACTACAAAGCAATTCTCAGGGAGAAAGACTCTGCTTGGTACTAGACCCAGAGGAGGGAGGCCCTGGCTTTTTGGAAGGTACAGAGTGCCTAGGACTTTTCTTTCTCATTGACTAACATGAAAACCAGGGGACTTTCTCCAGACACATACACACTGTCACTGAGCTCCCAGCTCTTTATCCTGGTCACTCAGAGGGAATGAACCAGACCTGTTTTCCTTAAAGATTCTCCTACCATTTTCCTGTGATAGCAGTCCCTCACAATTATGGAATATTCATGAATGAAACTCATTACTTCAGCCAGTCTCAAACACTGTATCATTGATATATATATATATATATATATCTTATTTTTTGTGCTCTAGAATTTTATAAGAAATTATTCAAAAATGCTCAGCCATACAGAAAGCTTCTTGGGATATTTTATAAATATCATGGTTGAAGATTCTATCCATTTATGTTTCCCAGTTATGGTTCATAAAAAGATCTGTGCTAAATATTTCACATATAATTTAGCAAAGTTAACTTTCTCTTTGGTCTCCAAAATTATTTTTATTCATTTTTTCCCAGACAATGAAGACCAAGGTTTCTTTCACAGAGACTGAGGCTTCTGTGCTGCCTTCTGTAGAGCCTGGGGCAGCATTGTTGCATAGCAGGACTTTACGGATACTTGTGAAATAAACTGACTCAACCATAATTTCTTTCTTATACTGGTTGCAAGGAAGCTTATGGTTAAGTGCTTTAGCAGTAATAGCCATGCTCCAGATGTACTTCTTTCCCCTAACAGTTTGGCTTTTCATATTTTCAATTTCGTTTTTAAGACCCTCATTGACTCTATAGTTTAATTATAAAAGCACTGCAAATCCTTTTTGAAAACTGGTATAGGATACCACAACATAAAATACATTTTATTTTTTAGATGATTAAAAACACAGTAGTTGAAATTTATGTTTTTTTTGAACATCTAACAAGCTATAAAATTAAGTATATTTTCACTGGGAAAAATATGTGACCATGTTTTCCAAGGCTTGATAAGATTCTCAGCTAGACAGGAACCTATCAGAAGACACATATATAGATACACATTGGACACAAAGAAGCTCAATTTTAAAATTCACTTTCCTTTTAGTGCAAGACTTGGCGAGTATGTATACACACACACACACACACACACACACACACACACACACACATACACCCACTGTGCCGTCTTCCTTGTTCACAAGAGAAGATTAATATTATCATATAGAAAAGCCAGGATGTCCTTGCTTTGTGATTTAGAAAATCCATGGGTTCGAACTTTCTGTAGTGAAAAGATAGACCTAAATCTAAGCTTATGTCTTCAACTGGTAGGGGGAGACTGGTATCAATTGGTCTGTTTCGTTTCTATGGCAGGAACTTGTCATTGGGCCTGGAACACAGGGATGCAAAGCCTTTGATTCAAGCCTCAGAAATGCCTCGGGTCTATTAAAAGAGAGAGAGGATAGGAAGGTGATTCCAAACAGCCCAAACAGATAGTAATTCTGCTTGGAATATGCTGGATTTTTTTTTTTCAGTTTTCTGGTGTGGACTATACTTTTGTGCTTATGAGGATCATAGATTCCTGTCTCTGTGCAAGGTAGACGCATTCTAGCTTCCTGCACATGTTACTTTTGTTTCACATAGTATTCTTTTATTTACTGATTTTTAAATTAAAATTGTAATCCAGTCTTTGTTGGTCCTCGCTGAAACCTTTCTCTTAGAGGTTATTACAAAGGAGGTTTAATAAATTTATTTTAAGATTCAGACTTTCTTTAAAGATGATAGCCACCTTTGTAGTTAGAAACAAATGTTACCAGCTTTTAAAGTAGGCTCAAAAATGAAAAAGGAGGGCGTGGTAAAAGTTCCTAAGTGTACAGTACTCATGCCACATCTGGAAAAGTGTATGAGTTACAATTGCTACTTCCTTCCAGTGGGAACGTCCGTGGACATTTGTTTAACAAGGGAAGTTGCTGTGACATCAAATTAATTGTGAGCACAGAGCAGACTTCTAGGCATGTGAGTCATACACTTCCTGTTTACCCTCCTTGGAGAGTTTATAACATCTGAAATATAAATTATCAGGACAATAACAGATTGCTTCTTCATTTGATTCTTTTAGATTTTCATGACTATCTCCAAAACTTGGGAAAATGAAAATCCCACAGGATGCTTGGAAATGTTGAGAAACACAATTATTTCAATCTTTTCTAATATAACGTATTTCAATAAAACTATGTATAAAAATCATGTGTAGCTGAACTTCAGGGAGGACTTGAGTGTTCAGTCCATGTTTAACTATGGGTTGCAAGTTTCAATGAACATTTTTTTTCTATATTTTATTTGGAATTTAGTAACCATGTATGTTTAAACATAGCTTTATAAATTGTTGCATTTGTTTCTTCGCTTTGTGTGCACTTATTGTCTCTCTCTGAGTGCTTGTGCATGCCCAGCATCAGTGAGGGGATGGAGACTAGAGGAAGACATGCAGGAGCTGGTTAGCTCTGCCACCTGATGGGTCCTAGGGACCAAATGCGGATCACTAGAGATGGGAGCAAGTGCTTTTACCTGATCAGTCTGCCTGATGTCCCTCAATCATGACAATTTTTATCTTACAAGACTTTTGGTTGTCAAACTAGAGAAATCTGTAGGATGCTGAGCTACCTGACCATTTTCACTGGGAAATGTTCTCTTTTCTTTCTATGTCCATTAAGGAGATACAATTAGGGCAGAAAACAACCTGCGCAGCTCATATGTGCTTAGTTGTGGGGCCACCACTGGGGAAATGGGAAACCCACATCCCCCAGGCAGAGCTACCCTCCCTTCCTCAGCAACCACCAACAGCTGGACTCACTATGTCATTAATAACAGGAACAGACGGCGGATGTGTGGTTGAGAGGATGGCAAGGCAGAGGTTATTGGGGAAGGTAGAGGTGCATAATGGTGGTTGACATGTTCAAAATGTACTGTTTAAATGCATGAACTTTTCAAAGAAAAGAATGGATAAAAATATGTTAAAATAAAAAAAAAGTGAACTAAAAATAGTGGTAATCAACATCAGAGGTTAATTGCCTGAAATCAAATCTGAATAAATTTGGGGTAGAAATGTAACGCACTGTTTTCTTTGAGAGTGATATGCAATGTGAATGGTGATGAGGGTGACAGATCCTGTATTGATTATTTCTGGTACAGATGAGTGCACGCACAGGCATCGCACAGGATGCCGATGAACCTCCAGGGTTCCTTGTTGGCAAAGAAAATCCTCAGGGCAAGACTTGACTCTTTCATAAGTCCTGTGGTGGATGGTTCAAGAATAGTCACAGATGCAACAGTTTTGAAATTTTTTTCCAAATGAATTAGTTTTTACAGGAAATATAAAGTTATTGTAAATGCACTTAATAGAAGTAGCTCATAATAACATCAAGATAGTTGTTCATAATAAAATATATATTATTATTTGGTTCTGTTTAAATCTTAAAGCATAAAGTACCACTCTCCAAAACTATATATCACTATTATATTTTATTACTTTTAGTAATTTTCTATGGCTCAACATATCAGTGGAGTACAGCTTTGGGAACACTAGTCCTGCAATATCTTTTTACAAAAATGTGCTATTATTCAAGTAATTCTGATGCATACTGTATACTGTAAGACATTTGAAGTATTTAAGAGATGATTTTAATACTGTGATTTTAAAAAAGAGTTTTTTGAGATGTATGATAAAATTAATTAAGTTGTGATTTTTGACATGAATCTATTATAGGTATTGAGGGGGGGAATGGGGAGGGGGAGGGGGGAGAGAGAAAGGTTGTAGCCATGAGTTGATATAACTGTTTTTCTTTAAGATAATTACATGAGGATTCGTGATATTATACTTCATGCATTTGTGTGAATCTCACACATTAGAAATTTATAAAAAAAGTAAAATAAAATGGCCATCCGTAACCATGAACTCTGTATTCATAGATTCAACTAACTGTGGACAAAAAATATGTAAAGTCCTTGCATCTTCAGAATGTATACAGAGAGGTTTTTTTTTTTGGGGGGGGGTTTCGAGACTGGGTTTCTCTGTGTAGTCCCGGCTGTCCTGGAACTCACTCTGTAGACCAGGCTGGCCTCGAACTCAGAAATCTGCCTGCCTCTGCTTCCCAAGTGCTGGGATTAAATACAGAGAGTTTTTAAAATCATTATTCCTTAAGCAATACAATACCATAAATATTTTCATAGACTTTAGATTGTATTAAGCATTATAAATTATCTAAAGATGACTTAAGACACAGAAGAGGATGCACATGGGTAATACGTAAATATCACTCCAGTTTATAAGTATCCTTAGATTTTGATGTTTGTAAAGGGTTGGAACCAGTTCCAGAACCCACTCTCTGGGAGATGATTTTACACAAAACATGCATATTTGTAAAGACTGTATAATGGAAAGAAGGGAGGAAAGCTGGGGAGAGCAACTGTTTATGGTAACACTTCCTAAACGTACTGAATACTAGTCTGTTCTTCTCAAGAAGTATCTGATACTATCTCCAGTAGAGATGTGGGGATGGTTATATACACATATAATAGAACCAAAGTTAATATAGTGCATAACTAGTAGTTTCAGGCATTTAGAATATGTTAGTCTTATCTAGATGCTGAAAACATTAAGGCATAATATGCAAAAGTTAAATTCCCCTTAAGTCCACATTCTGATATATGCAAGTAACTAAAGGCTTTGTTCATGTGTAAACATAATGACAACTATCATTAAGTAAAATAATGAAGTCAGAAGAAAAAATGGTAGTATATATTTTGAAGGAAAAGAAGCAATTGATTTGGTTTGAGTATTAGTTATAAAATTGATTACAAGTGTTCAGTAGTTAAATGAAAAGTTGTGTTTAAAAATCCCTTGAATCTGGACTTGGTAGTACATGTCTTTAATCCCAGCACTAACGAGTCAAAGGTAGGTGGATCTCTACAAGTTAGAGGCCAGCCTGGTCTTTGTAGTGGTTTCTAAAAGAGCCGGTGTTACACAGAGAAACCCTTTCTCAAAACAGCAAAAATGAATGTGTGAATAAATAAATAAATAAATAAATATTCACTGAATACTTTTATAGAACTCAATAATTTTATTTTTATAGTTTTACCTTAAATTCTCATAAATTATAGCCATCTGATAATATGCTAATTGTATTCCCATCAATTATTTCTCACTGTAGAACAGTTATGTTAGGTAGCATTTTTATTACTCAAAGTAAGTTCCATAGTTGCTAAATAAGATTTATACTATCACATAAAGTTTATTATAACTTTGCATATCTGAGAAGCTGCATTCTAGAATCTAAATAAATGAGACATGTTAGTTTCTTTAAAAACTAAATTATGCATGAATTTTAACTCTGTATCTTCACAGTAGCCTGTGTTAGTTTCTGCAACTCTCTTTATTTCTATCTTGTCAGAGATCAGCAACTTTCCACTGTTGACTTTTATGAAAATTCAAACAAGAACATTTGCATTTATTAGAATATACTGCCAAACCTTGCATTAATTTCCATTGATGCCCATTAATTTGATAAATGTTTTGTCATTTGTACCATTTACACTGTCAAAACAAGTTAATTATATCTTACTGACATCTTTGACAATTGCTTTAACAATGACAAAAAAGTGCCTTACTTGGTTCAATAAAAATTCCCTCTTGCCCACTGAAAGCTTGAACTAAGAAGGGAGATCAGTGCATGCTCAGGTTAGGACCAGCAGTAACTGAACAGTGGTACTCAAGGCTCTCAGAAACAGGCGCTCATCCCAGTCATCGGAAATTTTACATACCTGCATAATCTGTTCTTGCATAATGTCCATCTTCAGATTTAGTGGTTGTAGTTGTGTTATCTATGTTAAAAAATTAACAATAAAACCCAGTTAACCATTTGCTACATATCTATCAAATTTTCTCTTCCAATAGTACCTTCATTTCTTCATGGTAGTTAAGGTTTGTTGCTTTCCTCAACAACAACAACAACAACAATAAAAACAACAATCCATTTCTAGTTTTGAGCACTCTATGCAAACAGATTTTTAATGCACGTTTATGTCTAAGTTATAGAACAGTGTCAGCTTTCTGAAACTTGGGACAAGAAGACTCAGAACTGTAACTGAGATACAATGATAAAAGAAAAATCAAACCCAAGTTCCCTATGCCAGTTTTTTTTCTGAATAACAAAAACAGAATATTCTATCCTGTTCGGCTTTTAAGGTTGTACTTAAAGTATTTCTATCAAATCAATACATAAAAAGAGCAATTTGCTTTTAATTCTAAGATTTCTAATCCATTTAAAATTCTTGACTAGACTTCTTCTTTAGACTTTGCCAGGAAAATTTCTGCTATCTTCTGAATACTGGCTCCTGTGTTCATGGCCCTGTAACAATACAGTCCTATTATATTGAAAAAGACATGCACTGTTGCTGATGGGCCCTCAAACACCCATAATCAACACAAATTCTACAGCTGACTACACGATCCATTGTGAATCAGAACTGTCTTTCGGAAATGAAATAGGTGCCTAATAACGAGTTATCTTCACTTTTCATTTCTGCACAGAGACTAAAAACATTTTTTGAAATGAAATTTTGCTATGAACATTACCTTGACATCGACCCAGAGACATGACTTCAATTTTCTCCTGTTTCTGACATGACGCTTCTTTGATTTGACATGCATTATCATAAGACTTCCCATCAGAAGCACAGAGGGGATTGAAGTTGGTTTGAGAACAGTCAATGTTGCACACACACCTAAAGGAAGAGCAAAATAAAATGCAGAACATTAGTAGTGATGTTACCACACTGTAAGTAAAATATGAATGGGAGAAGTGGCTAGCAGGGCAAAATGCAGAAGAATCAAATTGTGCTTTTCCAGAGAAGTTCTGCCAGCTTTCTGAGATGAAATGTAACACAGAACTAATAGTAAATAATCCAGAGAACTCAGCAGTGAATCAAAAATAAACGTGCATAAACATCACGGGACTGTTTGGAGAATACAAATAGGCTACTGCAGCAGGATGGCTTCAGAAGTGACTCAAGTGCATTCCTGCACTTGCTTCATTGGATGGCTAAACGGGGAGAGCTTGAAAAAAATGTCCCAGGAGCCAGTAAAACAGAACGCAATCAAATACACTGTTTGGAATGCTGTCAGAAAAGGTATTTCTCCAGCACAAAGGAGAGCATGAATGAGGAGCAGTAAATGAGAGCCTTCAGTGGTTCTTAGCCGTTTGGAGTGCCACAGATGCCCTTCCAGAGTGAAGGGAAAGACGTAGGAATCTTCTCCGAAATGCTCACACCCTATAAACAGCATTTACACGAAATCCCATGGGGTTCTCAGGTTTCTTTCTGCACATCCCAAGGTTCCTTCCCAAGGTACACAATTTTTATTTTAGGCTCTTATTTTACACAATAAAGTGACAAATTCAAATTGGTTGCCACTTATGGTTTTAACATTTCTTTTCCTATAGGATAAAGAAACATCTGGTAAATTAAAGAGAATTAGATCATCTAAAGCACAATGAAACACTGTAAAACAAACTCTATAAAATTATTTTTCAATGTTCCTTTAATTCTCAGTTTTATAATTTACTTTGTTATTTGGAATATTATATTTTGGTTAAGAGTACTTGCAGCTCTTGCAGAGGAACTAGCACACACATGGTGGCTCACAAACATAGGCACTTACAGTTTTAAGGAACTTGACACCCCCTTCTGGGCTCAGCGGGCACTGTATGCATGTAGACGCACATACATACATTCAGAGAAACACTCATACTCATTAAAATAGTACATGTAAATAATTAGTATATTACATTGTTGGTATGTGCAAACTTGTATAGAATAAAAATTTTAAATATTTTTATTTATATTTGTATTCATTACTTCATATGTTCTTCTTTAAGTTGTGAATCACAATTTTACTTCTGAATACATTACATGTGCAAACATACACATGTGTGTATGCGTGCGTGCGCGCGCACACACACACACACAATGATAATAGTAATTACTCATTGCATGATGGCTATTAAATTCATTGATTTATTTAAACTTCATTTGTAGCAGCCATTACACAGACCACTATGTTAGAAAATACATAAAATCAAAAAGCTAATAAAGTATAGGACAGATACACACAGATGTGATATGTGAGGCTCAACTGTCCCCCTTTTATACTGCAGCCTGCAAACTAGGACTGCCCATAGAACGTTAAAATCATATGTTGATAAGCAGATTCTTGTGCTCTGTGGAAGCTGAGGTCCTGCCTAGAAGCCTAGACTTCTTAATTCTTAAATAGTAACTCTGGGAACTGAAGATTCACTGCCTGAGAATCATGATTGATCAATGAAACCCAGCAAAGGCCCTTTTATATACCAGGTAGTTTCAGGATATAGTCTTGAGACCATCTGTGTCAGAATTACACAACAGCTAAAAATATGGGCAGGAAATGCATTAGTGTGCTTAAAAATATATTTTTGTATATGTGGAAGAATTTCCCTAGTAGTACTTGATTAGTTTTTTATTCATTTATTTCAGAAATAGGACAGGTGGCAACAGTCTAAATCCTTAACTTCTCCACCCCCACCCTGGGTGGCATTCTCTGTCTGCCATGATGGACAGGAGCTCACTGTTGTTGCCTCTTAGCATCTGAAGATCTGAGGTCAGGAGCTGCCCGATATCACAGAGGGTGTGTGTTTCTCAGGATGTACCTGAAGAAGTGGCTCTAACTATTGAGCGTACCTAAAACACTGCTCTTAATAAAAACAGAGTGGTGAGGCCCACTTGCCTCATCGTGCAGTGACAGTTCCTGATATTTTAAAGGTGGATTAGGTTTGAAAACTTCAAAACTTTCAAACTTTCAAGTCTTATAAAACTTTCCAGTCTTATAAAGCTTTTATGCAAGCAGAAGAACGGACTGAATGGTATACTGCTTTATCTGTCTATGAAAACAGCAGCGGCAGTTTGACAGAGAAGCTCAGGAATGAACAGCTTGTCATTGTACTGGAAATTAAAATTTCTGAAATTCATTTAGTATCAAACTGAAAGATGAAATGAGAACAGCAAGGGGGAGAGACTATTTCAATGAGTTGAATTGCCCAGAGTCAGCGTTTCAACTGAGCTGCAGCACCTCACTGACAATTGTTTAGCGCATCTGATAGGATGCCGTCTCCCAGGAGTCAGTCCCCAACTCCACCCTATTTGACTCATTTGACTTCACTCCACTCCTGCCATTGTTCAGTCCCAGTGTCTTTGAAGATTTGCTTCTTATTAACTCAAATAACTCAGTTTTAGAAAAAGAACATATGTCATCATTTCATTATCACCTCAAAAGGAGGTCAGATTCCCTTCAGTGAAAGTGAGATGTAGTTTTCCTAAATCTCCAGAATCTAAGCTTCATAAATGCATGCACCGAGCTGGTCTTTTGCCATGCTCTTCACTACTCTCTATACAACCGTATAGCAATACACAAGCAAACACTGGAAAGTTCTATCTTCTTAATCTCAAGATTAACTCAAATTGGAAATCTATGAAATTATCTCCCCCCTCCTTCCCTCTGTTTCTCTCTCCTTCTGTCCCTCCCTTTCTTTCCTCCCCCCTCCCTCCCTCTCTCTCTGTGACAGAGTCTGGCATACTCCAGGCTGCCATGAGAGTCACTGTATAGCTATGACCTTAAACTTCTGATCCTCCTGTCTTTACCTTTTATGTGTAAAACTATGGGTCTATGCCACCATATCCTATTTTATGTAGCATTCCTGATTGAATTAAGAGCTTGGCGCATGGGAGGGACAAACTTTACCAAATGGGCTGCTTTCCCATCTCTTTTCCACTTTTTAAATAAATGGGAGAAGCTTCAGAAACATGGTAACGTGGCTCAGAAACTATGTGGTATGAGGAGAGAGAACACTGGGTGGACTTTGAAGACCTGCTCTATCTACATTTCCATTAAGTCAATAAACTCTGACTCTATAGCCATCACTTACTGTATTTTATATATTTAAGTTTGTTAGCTTCATAAATTACAACAAAAGGCAGGATTCTAAGACCTTACTCTGAGTTTCTGTCATGCTATCCCCCTCTTTTTTTTGGTTAATGACTGATTATCTTTGCTGTCTTCATTTTATTCAGTATTTTAGGTATGCTAAAATTTCAATAACTACATGTTGATAAACAAATAGAATGATTGAAGTAACTACTTAATACTTTGCAAAGACGGGCAGCCACTATTACTATCTTCATCTAATAGGTAAGAAAATTGAGTCTTGGGGAAGCCATACAGCTTGTAAGCAGAACATAATTTTCCATCTAGGCAGCCTGACGCCAGCGGCTGCATCATTCTGCAAATTGAAGTTCAAGGAAAACCAAGATGGATGCACATTCATATTACTACTGATGGAAGGGATACTTTGGATGAGTCGGATTTAAAACGTGATGCTGTGTCCACTCCTCAGCTATTTATTACAATATTTTTAGTTTATTTTTACTCTTAATCTTTTGTATTACCAAACACAATATCAAAACATTTTGCAACATTGTGCACACTTTGTTGAGTGATACTTTTGAGAAACTGTGAATCGATGCCAGCCATTAGAATGAATTACTAATCTAATGAGTATTGAGTTAATCTTACCACTTAAAGCTATGAAACTTGGCCAAATCTAAACATAACCATATGAAAACATACAAGTCACCGGAATCAACTCAAATGTGCCTGTGTGTGTGTGTATAAAGTTGAGAGCTTTAATAATCTTACCTGAGTTTATGCTTCCTGGGGTAATATTGCTTTCTTTCTTAGCAATGATGAATCTGTTTCTAGGAGGCTCATCCACCTCACAGTAGCATGCACTGCCTCGAATAAATAATGTTTTTTATTTTTATTTTATATTTATACTCTTCTTTAACCTTTTCAGGATCAAGGTATCCCATTAATCATTGAATTTAGCACAGTGCATTAGAGCAAATCTTCAATTAAAAAAAACCTTTGTTGAATGAATTAAAGGGATGTACTTGGAAGGAAATCAAGAATACAGTCAGTGTGTCTCAACACCAACACTGATTAGAAAAAAATTAGAGATGTCATAAATTAAAAGGCCTCGAAACAGGAGAGGAAATGGGACCATGGAGGGTGATGAGTTAAGGAACATGGGAATGGTAGCACATTCTCTCAGACGACAGTTTGCTACATGGAAGGAACCTGTATAACCAGTAAACAAAACAAAACAAAACAAAACAAAACAAAAAACCTGTAGGCTATTAACACAAGCAAACCAAAGCACTGAGGTCTTACGCTTAACGGGCTGTCCCAACTTGATGTCCTTTCACATCGTCATCATTGAACAATGCAAAGTCAATACGAAAAACTATTCCTTACTCTCCCATTTTTCTATCACAAAACTTCTGTTTCTAAGCTCACACAGTCTCAGGTGCTCCTTAGTTTACTAGTCATAGCAAAACTGTTCCAAGATCTGGTCTTTTTTTGGTCTCTGATACCTCTGTTCTGAACTTGGAAAGGATAACTAGCAATAAATTAATGCAGCTGTACCAAACCATGCTGTTTGGTACATGAGTCATGGAGAAGGGGCTGTAAGAACCCAGGCTCTCAGCTTCCTTGTTTGTCTTTTCACAGCGGAAGAAAACACAATACTGATCTTTGATGACCCCAGTGACATAGATATCTACTTGTGACAGGAGATACTTTCACCAGCCAGTCACTGCTTACATTTTGTGATATTTTGGCATAGTTTTAGGTATGGATATAATGTGAACATGGTAGTAGTTTGACAGTTCAGTATCTTTTTTCTTACACAGAAATGAAAGGCATTCATTTTTAAAATAGAAACTATTCCTCTTCCCTGCTTTTGGCAAATAATTGCATTATTATTCATCCTGAGAGGAGTAACTAGTTAATTACAGCATGCCACAAGCATTACATGCAAGGCCTGGATTTGGAGGGCTGAGCACCGCACACATGCCTTTCAGGGTTTGGTTTTGTTTTGCTTTCTTTCCTTTTCTTCCCTTTTTTCTGTGTATCTCAGTCTTTTGACATTTTGACACTGCGATTATATAGATCTCTTTTCTTCTAAGCTACAAAGACAAAGAATCAGTCGTACTTGAAAATAATAATTTTGGGGTCTCTATGTGAAATGACCCCCCCCAACTGCTTCAGATACAGTTAACACTGAAAACCTTAGCTCCCTGAATCACAGAGAAGGAAAGAAATAACTGCAAACGTGCACAGGATGCTGTAAAAAGCCTAAAGTATAGGAACTGAGCCGTGGTACCTATGATGACCGGCATACAGTTATAATTGGCTCATGAAGAGTTGCGAAGTTTGACATTAATTTAGTTCCCTGCCTCACTGAAAGGGAGGATGGTCTACAGTGAGTTAAATGCATTTTTCCATGTGTTTAGGAATGCCTGCCATCTCCTAAG